CAAAATAAGTTTGTAAAACAAAATCAAAGACTCATACTATCTGATTTTAAGATTTTCCATAAAGCTCTAGTTAGAAAGACAACGTGGTATTAGTGAAAGAATGACAAAAAGATCAACGGAACAGAATCGAGAGTCCGGAAACAGACACACACACACACACACACACACACACACACACACACACACACACGACCAACGGATCTTTGACAAACGTTAGGGTTAGGGTTAGGGTTAGGGTTAGGGTTAGGGTTAGGATTTCAACAGGAAAAGGACAATCTTTTCAACAAGCGCTGCTGGGACGACTAGAGAGAGACACACAAAACCTGCGCCTGGACCCCACTCATACCACAACAAAAGTGAACTTGAAATGGCCCAGATGCCTAAATGCAAGACCTAGAAAACTTTAGCGGAAAACCTGGGAGAAAATCTTTGTGACCCTTAGAGAGTTGTTTTTTTTTTTTTTTTTTTTTTTTTGAGACGGAGTCTTGCTCTGTCGCCCAGGCTGGAGTGCAGTGGCGCGATCTCGGCTCACTGCAAGCTCCGCCTCCTGGGTTCAAGCCTCCTCCTGCCTCACCATCCTGAGTTGCTGGGATTACAGGTGTGAGCCAACGCGCCCGGCCAGAAATCTTTTCCTTTCTTTTCTTTTTTGAGGTGGAGTCTTGCTCTGTCCCCCAGGCTGGAGTGCAGTGGCGCGATCTTGGCTCACTGCAGGTTCCACCTTCCGGGTTCACGTCATTCTCCTGCCTCAGCCACCACACATCTGCTAATGGCTATATTTCATGGCTAAAATTAGATGACTGGTAATATCAAATGTTAGCGAGGACATGGAGCAACTGGGACTCTCATAAACTGCTGGAGAAAATGCAAATTGGAACGAGTCACTTGGGAAAACACTGCAGCAGTTGTTTTCTTGTTTGTTTGTTTTTGAGACGGAGTCTCGCTCTGTCACCCAGGCTGGAGTGCAGTGGTGCAATCTTGGCTCACTGCAACCTCCACTTCCAGGCTCAAGCAATTCTCCTGCCTCAGCCACCTGAGTAGCTGGGATTACAGGCATGTGCCACCATACCTGGCTAATTTTTTGTATTTTTGGTAGAGATGGGGTTTTGCCATGCTGCCCAGACTGGTCTCAAACTCTTGAGCTCAAGCAATCTGCCTCAGCCTCCCAAAGTGCTGGGATTACAGGTGTGAGCCACTGTGGCCTGCAAGCATTTGTTATAAAGTAAAATGCACGTCACTTCTAGGTACAGGCCGACCTTGGAGATACTGTGGGTTCAGTTGCAGGCCACCACAATTAAGCGAGTATCACAGTAAAACAAGTCACACAATCGTTTTTGGTTCCCCGGTGCATACAGGCTGGGCGCGGTGGCCTACACTTGTAATCCCAGCACTTAGGCTAAGGTGGGCAGATTACCTGAGGTCAGGAGTTCGAGACCAGCCTGCCAACATGGTGAAACCCCATTTCTACTAAAAATACAAAAATTAACCAAGTGTCGTGGTGGGCACCTCTAATCCCAGCTACTGAGGAGGCTGAGGTAGGAGACTCCCTTGAACCCAAGAGGCAGAGGTTGCAGTGAGCTGAGATCACACCACTGCACTCCAGCCTAGGTAACAGAACGAGACTCCATTTTTAAAAAGAAAAAGAAAATTTCATTGCTAAAAAATGCTAACAATCACCTGAGCCTTTATCAAGTCATACTTGATAAAGTATGCTGGTAGAGGGTCTTGCATTGATGTTGCTGGCTGCTGACTGATTAGGGTGGTGGTTGCTGAAGGCTGGGGTGACTGTGGCAATTTTTTTTTTTTTTTTTTTTTTGAGACAGGGTCTGGCTCTGGTTCTGTCACCCAGGCCGGAGTGCAGTGGTGTGATCTTGGCTCACTGCAACCTCGGCCTCTTGGGCTCAAGCCACCTCCTCCTTCAGCCTTTCGAGTAGCTGGGACTACAGGTGCACACCACCCCACCTGGCTAATATTTGTATTTTTTATAGAAATGAGGTTTCACCATGTTGCCCAGGCTGGTCTCCAACTTCTGAGCTCAAGTAATCCGCCTGCCTTGGCCTGCCAAAGTGTTGGGATTACAGGTGTGAGTCACCCCACCTGGACGGCAATTTCTTAAAATAAGACAACAATGAAGTTTGCCACATGGATTGACTCCTCTTTTATGACAGATTTCTCTGTAGTATGTGATGCTATTTGATAGGATTTTACCCAGGCAAGACCTTCCTGCAAAATTGGAGTCAATCCTGTCAAACCCTTTGCTGCTTTATCAACCAAGTTCATGGAATATTCTAAATTCTTTGTGTGTGTGTGTGTGTGTGTGTGTGTGTGTTTTGAGACGGAGTCTCGCTCTGTCACCCAGGCTGGAGTGCAGTGTTGCGATCTTGGCTCACTGCAAGCTCCCCCTCCCAGGTTCATGCCATTCTCCTGCCTCAGCCTCCTGAGTAGCTGGGATTACAGGCGCCCGCCACCACGCCCGGTTAATTTTTGTGTGTGTGTTTTTAGTAGAGATGTGGTTTCACCGTGTTGGCTAGAATGGTCTCGATCTCCTGACCTCGTGATCCACCCGCCTTGGCCTCCCAAAGTGCTGGGATTACAGGTGTGAGCCACCATGCCCACCCAGAATATTCTAAATTCTTTGTTAATTTCAACAATGCACATGGCATCTTCACAGGAGCAGATTCCACTTCAAGAAACCGCTTTCTTTGCTCATCCATAACAAGCAACTCCTCATCCATTAAAGTTTGATCATGTGAACACAACAATTCCATCCCATCTCAGCTCTACTTCTCATTCTAGCTCTTGCTGTTTCCACCACATTGGCAGTGACTTTCTGCACTGACGTCTTGAACCCTCAAAGTCATCCACAGGGGTTACAATCACTTCTGTTAATGTCGATATTAGGTTCGTGCAAAAGTAATTGCGGTTTTGCCATTAAAAGTTATATTTTGGGGCTGGGCGTGGTGGCTCACGCCTATAATCTCAGCACTTTGGGAGGCCGAGGCGGGCAGATCACCTGAGGTCAGGAGTTCGAGACCAGCCTGGCTAACATGGTAAAACCCTGTCTCTACTAAAAATACAAAAATTAGCTGAGCATCTGGCCTCAGCAGCAACCACCCCTGCCTCCACCCTCTGAGCTTTGCATGTTCCACTAACCCTGGGCGGGCGGCAGATGGAGGTGTACACACACAACATGTCTTAAGTTTGCTGTCTTAAATGGGGGCAGTCCGTGGTTTTGCCGAAAACCAATTACAATAGTTAACGTCAAAGGTCACTGATCACAGATCACCATACCAGGCGATGACAATGAAGAAGTCTGAAATATGAGAACGACCAACACGTGGTGCAGAGGCAGGAACGGAGCACAGGCCACTGGAGAAATGGTGCCGACGGACTTGCTCCACACGGAGCTGCCATCAACCTTCAATTTGTAAAAAATGTGATTCCTGTAATCCCAGCACTTTGGGAGGCCAAGGTGGGCGGATCACAAGGTCAGGAGATCAAGATCACCCTGGCTGACACAGTGAAACCACGTCTCTACTAAAAAATACAAAAAATTAGCCGGGCGTGGTGGCGGGCATCTGTAGTTCCAGCTACTCGGGAGGCTGAGGCAGGAGAATCGCTTGAACCAGGGAGGCAGGGGTTGCAGTGAGCTGCAGTCACCCCAGTGCTCTCCAGCCTGGGCGACAGAGTGAAACTCTGTCTCAAAAAAAAAAAAAAAAAAGTGATTCCACACAGTAGGAGAAGGCGAGACACACTGAAACGAGATGTGCCTGTATTTACCCAAGAGAAACGGAAACAGGTATCCACACAAAGGTCTTTTCAGAACAGTCACAGCAGCTTTCTTCATGGTATTCCAAAGGTAAAAGCCAAATGTCCATCCGTTGGTGGATGGACAAATACATCTGATGTATCCATGCAAGGGAATACTATTCAACAATAAATAGGAACAGACTACTGATCTTGCAACATGGGTGGGTCTCAAAAGCATGATGCCAAGTGGAAGAAGCCAGACGAGAAAAGCTACAGACTGTGCGATTCCATTTATATGACATTCTAGAAATGGCAGAGCTATAGGCACAGAAGGCGGCACAGCGGTTGCCAGGGCTGGAGGTATGCAATTTTGTACATAAATTATCCCTAGTAATCCTGACTTCAAGTAAATAAGTTACTCATTTTCTTTTTTTAGGAAGGAGCGGCCTTATAAATATCTAAATTTGACAATACAAATAAGATGTCTGATTTAAAAAGATACACTCACAAACTGTTCGACAGAACTCCTAACATGCTGGCGGGGGGCTGGGGGAGGAAACGCGTGCCTGAGGGTGCGCGGACATGCTAACGAGTCTCCTTGTCACAAACGGAGAAAGACGATGGTATTTTAAAATCCTTTTCTCTGATTTTCAAATGTCCTGTAATGCAATCACTTATGCTTGATAAGGGTTTTTTTTTTTTTTTTTTTAATCACACTTTAAAAACTCCGTAGATTAGCAGGCACCAATAGAAAATACAGGTTCTCGTCAGCTCACGGTGGGGGTGCAGCCCAGCAAACCCGTCGTAAGTTGAAAATATCCTAAGTCCAAAATGCAGGCTGCGTGCGGTGGCTCATGCCTGTAATCCCAGCACTTTCAGAGACCAAGGAGGCAGATCACCTGAGGTCAGGAGTTCAAGACCAGCCTGGCCAACACGGTGAAACCCCGTATCTTTTAAAAATACTAAATTAGCTGGGCGTGGTGGTGGCGCATGTCTGTAATCCCAGCTAGCTGAGCGGTTCAGGCAGGAGAGTCGCCTGAACCCAGGAGGTGGAGGTTGCAGTGAGCTGAGATTGAGCCATTGCACTCCGGCCTGGGCGACATGAGTGAAACTTCATCTTAAACAAACAAACAAACAAAAAACCCAAAATGCACTTCCTGCAGATTGCCTGCCAGGCGCCCCGGCCCAGCCCAGCCTCCCTCAAACGTGCTCAGGACACTCCTATGAGCCTACGGGTGGCAAAATCATCTCACACAAAGCCTGTTTGATAACAAAGTGTTGGGCATCCATGTAATTTATTGAATACGGTTCTGAAAACCAGGGAGGTTGTGTGGGACTCGAAGCCCAGTTTCTGTTGCCTGCCTGTTGCTTTAATACCATGGTAAAGTCCAAAAATCGTTAAGTCAGGGACTGTCTGTAAACGAAACAAAAATAACATATGGAATCTAGAATATGGCCCAGGTGTTGGGCCCTGGGCCTCTGAGGATGAAGGGGGGAACGCAGGAGGTGTCCAGCAACCTGTGGTCAAGGCCGGGTTCTCTCCCAGGACGCTGCCCACGGCTATTGTCCTCGGGTTGGCCTGCCTGGCAGCCGTGGCCACAGCTGAGGGCCTGGGAGGAGGCTGTGAGGCAGTGCGGCTGACCGATTCACATCTCGGGGTAAAGGGGCTACGGCTGTGGGCCAAGACCTGTCTGCCCCCTGTATTTCCTTTCAGGAAATAGGACAAAGGCAGGTAAGAGGACGGGTGTTTTTGGCTGCAAGTCCCAAGGGCGTGTGAATTCTGATTAGGTTATCTGCCCCCAAGTTAAGTACAGTCCAGGCTTTGTTTTCTGAGTGAAAGTGAGCCATTTCCCTGCATACGTGATGGGAAGGGGCTGACTGTGGGCGCCTCGTGGTTATTCACCAGGGACCCATGTTGGATTCCGTGGACCGCCGTGGTCTTTGGAGGGTTGGTGTGGTGGGGCCGGTCTGGTCTCGAGGGTCACACACGGCTCCTTCAGGACTTCCGGCTGCTGGGGAGGGCAGTGTCCAGCTCCCACAGGCAGGCCCAGATGGACAGGGGACGTGCTCACAAGCACGGTCATTCCCCGGTGGGAAGGAGGGACGGGACACCGTGAGCTACCACAGCAGTCCTGACGGGCCTCACCCATGTCCCTGTGTCTGGGGACATTTATTTCTGTTTGTTTATTTGTTTGTTTTTGGGACAGGTTCTGACTCTGTTGCCCAGGCTGGAGGGCAGTGGTACCATCTCGGCTCACTGCAGCCTCGACCTCCTGGGCTCAAGCAATCCTCCCACCCAGCCTCCTGAGTAGCTGGGACTACAGGTCTACAGGTGCACACCATCATGCCCAGCTAATTAAAAAAATTTTGAGAGACAGGGTCTTGCTCTGTTGCCCAGGCTGGAGTGCAGTAGTACAATCACAGTTCACTGCAGCCTCAAATTCCTGAACTCAAGTGATCATCCTACTTCTACCTCTCAAGTAGATGAGACCACAGGCGCACACCACCACACCTGACTATTTTTTATATTTTATTTTAGAGACAAGGTCTTACTATGTTGCCCAGGCTGGTCTTGAACTCCTGGGTTCAAGGGATTCTCTTGCCTCAGTCTCCCAAAGCACTGGGATTACAGACAGGAGCCACTATGCCTGCCCATGGGGGCACATTTCTAAGGGGGTTGTTACTCTGTCTTTGGTCTGTGGCCTCAGGTCTGCTGGGTCACCAGTGTCCTTGGGTATATGGGGCGTTGGTGGTGACTGGGCCCCACCTGCCAGATCCCCAGGCTAGAAGGAGGCCTGCTGGGGACACTGTGGCAATGCCCACACCCAACCCATCCCACACTGCCTTCCACTCCTTTCTCCTCCATCAACTGGGGGCAAGGACAGTGTCCCCTTTGACGGGCTACACCAGACCGAGCTGAGCCTGGGGCCTGTCACCCAGGAAACGTGAAATTGCCTGCTTGTTGACTGGCTCTAATTCTGCATTCAGTCTTTCTCCATCCTGTCCTCCCTCCCTAGGGCAGGCTCCAGCACTCCACACCAAGGGGAAGAGCCTTTGAGGAGTCGTCTCTGCCATCATCAAGATTGAGGGAAAAGTAAGTCTAGGAGATTAGGGCAAGCCCTCAGTTTTCTTTCTTTTTTTTTATTTTTTTGAGACAAAGTCTCGCTCTGTCGCCCAGGCTGGAGTGCAGTGGCGCCATCTTGGCTCACTGCCACCTCCACTTCCCGGGTTCAAGCGATTCTCCTGCCTCAGCCTCCTGAGTAGTTGGGACTACAGGTGCCCGCCACCACGCCTGAATGACTTTTTGTATATTTAGTAGAGACGGGGTTTCACTGTGTTAGCCAGGATGGTCTCGATCTCCTGACCTCGTGATCCACCCGCCTCGGCCTCCCGAAGAGCTGGGATTACAGGCGTGAGCCACCGCGCCCGGCCCCTTCAGCTTCCTTGGGTTGATGTAAACAGGAAACAGAATAACACGTTTCATGTTTCTCCTGAACTTTTATGACCGTGTGCAAAACCCCTGAAGAAACAGGGAAGACAGAAAAAAAAAAAAAAAGCAGCCAAGACAAGCACAGCTTCTGAGCTAAGCTTGCAGCTTGTGTATGAGACACGGGGGCAAGATTACGGTTACCGCCTCCTCTACCACAGCAGCCCCCCACCAAGGACAGGGAAGTCAGACTGTCTTCAGAGCATTAGGTTGTAGACTCGACATCAGATGAAGAGAGACACGAAGGCATGGGAAAAGAGAAAGGGTGAGGTTCGGCTGGAACCTAATCAAAGGTATTAACTTATCTGAAAAAATGCCACGGGCGTCAGGAGGGAGGAGGGGTGGGGAATGGAATGGAGAAAGCAGCCAAGGTCAGGGTGAGGGTTGCTCGGGGGACACCTCCCACCCATGTGGTTGGACTGGCCATGAACTTCGGGGAGGAGGCAGGAAGCAGGCAGGGCTGGGGCCCAGGCATTCTGCCCTCTAGCGGGTCCCTGAGCATGGGTCGGCGTCATCGATTCCTGTGTCCTCCTCCCCCACAGATTAGAATCTGCTAGTCCAAGTGTGCAGCATTTGGTTCTTTGGTGTTTATATTCCTTTTTTTTGGCACTATCTTGGCTCACTGCAAGCTCCGCCTCCCGAGTAGCTGGGACTACAGGCGCCCGCCACCACGCCTGGCTAATTTTTTTTTTTTTTTTTTTTGAGACGGAGTCTGGCTCTGTTGCCCAGGCTGGAGTGCAGTGGCCGGATCTCAGCTCACTGCAAGACCCGCCTCCCGGGTTCACGCCATTCTCCTGCCTCAGCCTCCCGAGTAGCTGGGAGTACAGGCGCCCGCCACCTCGCCCGGCTAATTGTTTTTGTATTTTTAGTAGAGACGGGGTTTCACCGTGTTAGCCAGGATGGTCTCGATCTCCTGACCTCGTGATCCGCCCGTCTCGGCCTCCCAAAGTGCTGGGATTACAGGCTTGAGCCACCGCGCCCGGCCTCACCTGGCTAATTTTTTATATTTTTAGTAGACGGGGTTTCACCGTGTTAGCCAGGATGGTCTCAATCTCCTGACCTCGTGATCCACCCGCCTTGGCCTCCCAAAGTGCTGGGATTACAGTCGTGAGCCATCGCACCCGGCCTCTTTGGTGTTTATATTTCATCACGCACACGAATGGGCTGTTATTCTCAGTTACACGTCAGGTTCTGGTGAGCTCGATTCATGTAAACTAACTCCAGGACAAGTGTGCCTTCTCGGTTTGATGGCAAAACCAAGCTTCTGGGCCAGGGGGTCCTGCCCCACAGGGATCTTACAGGGTGAAGGCTCCAGACATGCCCAGACAGCCACCAGGGTACTGGTCCTGTATGCACCATCCTGACCATCAGCCAGGAATGTCACCATTTTCTAAGATGCTCTACAAATCTGAACATCTCAAGGTCAATATTTGAGGTATAGTTCAGTCACTGCACTCCTAGCTTGGAAGTCCTAAGCAATGCAATAATTTATTTCTGTAATAATGGCCCTCACCTATTAAACCTGTCTCCAAGTTGCTTCTTCAAATCTATCTGGGTGCAAACAGCAAATCTCTGCAATTACTGTTTACACTTCTCACAATGTCCTACAGGGCCTGCACTTTTAAAAGATTGGCTGGGCGCAGTGGTTCTCTCCTATAATCCCAGCACTTTGGGAAGCCAAGGCGGGTGGATTACCTGAGGTCAGGAGTTCAAGACCAGCCTGGCCAACATGGTGAAACCCCCTCTCTACTAAAAATACAAAAATTAGCTGGGCGTGGCAGTGCGTGCCTGTAATCCCAGCTACTCTAGAGGCTGAGGCAGGAGAATCGCTTGAACCCAGGAGGCAGAGGCTGCAGTGAGCCAAGATGGCACCACTGCACTCCAGCCTGGGGGACAGAGCGAGACTCCATTGCAAAAACAATAAAAATAAAATAAATAGCAGATGGGCCTCACTCCTCCACGGGGCCTTGGTGCACTGAGCTGCAGGTGAAGTCAGGGCTCTCTCATTCGTGAAGCGTTTGTGCGTGTACATATTTGGTTAAAATATTCACTCAACATTCTGTGCATGCATGTTTTATAAAACAAGATATCTATTTTTTTCATCGATCCGATTGGCACAGTCCTAAAGTGTGACAACACGCTGAGCTGTCAGGGGACTTTGAAACACTGCTGCCGGGGGTGTGACTGTCACAATCCTACTTAGCAATACCCGCTAGACCCAGACATTCCAGGCTTGATGGATAATATAAAAAAAATTAGGCCGGGTGTGGTGGCTCATGCCTGTAATCCCAGCACTTTGGGAGACTGAGGCAGGCAGATCACCAGGTCAGGAGATCGAGACCATCCTGGCTAACACGGTGAAACCCCGTCTCTACTAAAAATACAAAAAATTAGCCGGGTGTGGTGGCGAGCGCCTGTAGTCCCAGCTACTCGGGAGGCCGAGGCAGGAGAATGGTGTGAACCTGGGAGGCAGAGCTTGCAGTGAGCCGAGATCACGCCACTGCACTCCAGCCTGGGCGACAGAGCGAGACTCCGTCTCAAAAAAAAAAAAAAAAAAAAAAAAAAAAGTCATTCCCTTCACTCTCATGAGTCAACAATATAAAGCCAAAGGGAACACTGTGGTTTGATATAGGCGATGTTTGGTTGAAGCCTGGTTTCCCCTGTAAAGATGCAGGTAGAGGAACCGGAGCCAGCTGTGGCCGGACAAGGGCCCCTCTCCCTGTGTCACCGGGGTTGCCAGCACACCGGGATGAGAGGACTTGGCCATCTGCCCACATGGGCGGCTTTTTCCTCCTGCCCCAAGGCTAGGACTTAATACCTGACTGTTAATTACACTGCTCAGCTGCCACGGGCCTTGAGAAAAGTCAAGGCTGGGTTCTCTCTGAGCATCCAGCACCTAGCCTGACTCTCCAAGGCTCATGGCCTGTGAACTCCGCAGTGTCCCCAGGGGAAGGTGCCACCTCCGAGATGTTCCTGTGGTCCAGCTCTCCCCTGCATCCCAGACTAACCAGCGTCCTCTCTGCAAACTGTCCTCGTTGCCCTCAGAGACATGGCTTCCTTTTGGTTGCAAAACATTGTAAAAATCGTATTCGATCAGGTCTCCTCCTCCCCAGCCCGCAGTCACTAGCACCCCCTCCCACGACAAGCAAAGGCTCCTGGTTTTCTGGGATCCCCTCCCTAATTTCTGTGCAATCGCAAGAAAGCGTATACGTTCGTCCAGTCTTCCTTCCCTCTCGTGCTCTGTGGGAGCACACCACACACACTGTTCTGCACCTCATTGCTTTTTCCACTTAACAGCGTGTCCTGAAGCACTTCCCAAGTCAAAATACAAACACCGCTCATTCCCGCCTTGCCACCATGTGGCATTCCACTGGGATACTTCAACGGGGAAGCTTTCTGCCCGGGGCATCGAGGGTGTTCGTGTGCCTTTGTTATTGTGGTGTTGCTGTAGATAACCAGGTCCAGGAATGCTATGCTCACCAGGGTGCTATGTAATTTTTTTTAAATTCAAGCAATTCTCTGCCTCAGCCTCCCGAGTAGCTGGGATTGTAGGCGCCCGCACCATGCCTGGCTAATTTTTGTATTTTTAGTAGAGACGGGGTTTTACTATCTTGGCCAGGCTGGTCTTGAACTCCTGGCCTCATGATCCACCTGCCTCGGCCTCCCAAAGTGTTGGGATTACAGGTGTGAGCCACCATGCCCGGCCGGAAATGAGTATGTTTAATCCAGCATTATTCATTTGAAAATGTTTTGGTCTAAAAACTTTTAAAAACAAAACGGTTTCTTTTTGTTTCTTTAGTCACAGGAGCCAAAAGGAAACGCATCTCCTGGTTGTGTGACTGCTGCAGGCCACCTGGCTGTGGGTGCTGTGGGACCAGTCTGTCCCTCATTCCTTGGTCCAGCCTTTCTTGAGCACTTGCTGTATGCCAGGCTCTGTGCTGGGCACAAGGGGTGGAAACTACGAAAGGTGGACGTGAGGTTAAAGCTCAGCGGGTGAGCCACGTGCCACCACAGTGCCCAGCTTTTGCCTTCCAGGTCCCGACACCTGGTCACCCTGGGTGGTTTTAGGAATGAAGGCAGCACCTGTGTCTCCAATGCCCCGCCCCGAGCCACGCATCCATCCCCAGAAGTGACGGGATGCCTGGAGGAGGCCTCTTCCTCCCCTTCCTTTGGAGATTAAAACAGAATTTCAGTTGGAATGCAGCCCTCAGGCAGAACAACTGGACGGGATGGGGTTTCCGCACTCAGGTGGTGATACTGCAAATCAAAGGGACACCTTTACCTCCCAAAGAGACCTTTCTCTTTACCCTGCTCTCTGTTTCTACTTAATCCTGCCAGGAAATCTGAGCAGAAAAGCCTCACTCCTCCCAGTGCCGCAGTGTTGGAAAGGATTTAAGAATCGCTGAAATCTTATCAAACAATGAGGGAGCTTTCCGGATGGAAGCCTGGACCCGGGGCTCCAGGTGCACCCTCTGTCCCAGAGATCCGGTGGACCCAGAAGGAGGCGCGTGGGGCAGGCCTGCCACGGACCCCTGGGGTTCCCGCGTGTCCTCACCGCCTGTGGCCCTGCAGTACCTGAGTGCCTCCAGCACTGCCCTGTGCGCCTCGTCACGGTGCTTCATGCCCACCAGGCTGGTGGCCCACTGCTGCAGGATGCGCCTCTTCTCCATGCTGATGGCATCGATCTCTGTGCAGGCCTGCAGCCAACGGGGGAGAGGGCAGGAACAGCTGTCTCATTTCATTGGCGAGTAAAGCCCAAGAACACTGGAGCCTCACATTCCCAAATCTTCCTCTTTTCCTTCTATCACCTACTTTCCTTGATCATGCATCCGCAGAGGGGTAAACATGAGCCTGAATGTAGCTTTCAAGATAACCCGCACCTGCTTTGAGCCTTTGCTCAGGGCCTGTGGTGCTCAGTGCTTGGGAATGAGGAGGGAGAGGGAAGGCAGGAGAGGGAGGAAGGGGGAGGGAGGAGGGGGAAGATGAAGGAGGGAGGAGAGGGAGGAGGGGGAAGATGAAGGAGGGAGGAGGGAGGAGAGGGAGGAGGGGAAAATGAAAGAGGGAGGAGGGGGAAGATGAAAGAGGGAAGGGGAGAGAGAGTGGGGAGAGGGAGGAGGGAGGGGAGGAGGGAGAAGAGGAGGGAGATCCTGGCCAGCATCCGTGAAACACCATTGTGGGGTTGGTGGTGTCATTGATTCGGGCTGAGGTCCTACAGGATGGGACGGGCCCAGCACCACTTCCTGTAGGGAGCCCACGATGGAAGGAGGTGTTTGTCTCAAGAATGACCAGACCTGGATGCTCTCGTCCAGCCAGGAGAAGCAGGGCTGCCTAGACTGGGAATGAGGAGGCACAACTGGACAGTCAGGTGTGGGTAGGTCAGGCAGGCTGAGGGAGGCTGGAAGTCTAGGGGCATCGTGGGGGGCGGGGAGGGGCCACCTGCAGTAAGGGCTTGGCCCCATGTAGGGAAGGGGCTTGAAAACGAGGTGGGTGGTTCAGGAATTTACTCCAAGGGCAAGGGGAGTTCCTTTATGCCTGGGGCACAGAGGTTAAGGCTGGTACAGCTGCCTGGGCTGAATCTCACCCGCTGTGCCTCAGTGCCCCCAGCTGTGATATAGGTACAAGAGTGGCACCTACATCCTGGGGCTGTCGGGTCAAGTGAGTTGAGGCCTGCATGCCCAGCACAGCCTGGATCGTGGTCTTATTTTGAGTGGTGTTTGGGATTCTTGATGAGTCATCCCCTAATGCAAAGCATTGTGACTTTAGCAAGCCGGCGGCCCGAGTCAGCCAACTGGGGCATCCTGCGGAACGCCAAGTCCCAGAAGTGCCTGCACGCCGTGACACCCAGACAAGCTTGGTAGACAATGACTGAAGCCACAGTGCATTAGAACATCACAGGGGAGCCGAGGGCAGCGCCAGGCATGAGAGAGGCCATCGCCCTGGAGACACCACGCTTGGTTGTGAGGGTTTCTGAACCATCTATTCATTATGATATAACCTAAAAAGGTGTGAATTAAGTACACCACGATGAGGGGGACTGGTTTTTCCTCTCACAGACACTTACTTAGGATTACTGAGCAGCCTAGGAAGGGACATTGTGTACATCCAGGGACTGGCTTCCCTTTTGTCTGTAGTATTTCCTTGTATTGTAGCTGACATGTTACAGCTCTCTCTCTGGGGTACAGAGTGATATTTCGCCACTTGTGTACTGCTTGAATCAGGGCAATTAGCATATCAATCACCTCCAGCAATTGTTATTTCTTTGAGTTGGAAACATTCAAAATCCTCTCTTCTAGCTATCTGAAAATGTACAACAAATTCTTGTTAACTAGGCCGGGTGCGGCGGCTCATGCCTGTAATGCCAGCACTTAGGGAGGCTGAGGCGGACGGATCACCTGAGGTCAGGGGTCTGAGACCAGCCTGACCATGGGGTGCAGGTGTCTCTTGGATGCACGGACTCCCTTTCCTTTGGATAAATGCCCAGTTGTGGGACTGCTGGGTCACAGTTTTGTACTGGGGTAAGTTATTCACAAAGGAGGCTGCTCTGTGCCATTGGGCAGTGGGAGCCGGCCCAGGCAGCAGGTGGGCACCCAAATCCAGCCAGGATGCACCTTAAACCGAGCCTGTGCGGGGCATCCCCATGGTGTCCCCAAAGCTGCCGGCCGCGGCCTGGTTGACTGAGGTGCAGGTCAAGGCATAAAGGCGGAAAGATGGCTGCTGGGCTCTGTCACCTGTGCCTTTAGACCTCAGTTTTTCACAAAGGCAAGTGTTCGGCCAGTGTGAATAGAATGTGCAAATAAGCAAAAAGAAAATGAAAATGCCAGTAATCCTACCACTTAGAGATAACCATTTCCAGCTTCTCACCCCTGTGATTGTGTGTGTGTGAAATCAAATTCTATATATTGTTTCATAAGCTCCTATTACTTTTTTTTTTTTTTTTTTGAGACTCTCGTCACCCAGGCTGGAGGGCAACGGCACAATCTTGGCTCACTGCAATTTCCGCCTCTGAGTTCAAGCAATTCTTCTGTCTCAGCCTCCCGAATAGCTGCAATTGTAGGCACTCACCACCACGCCTGGCTAATTTTCGTATTTTTAGTAGAGACGGGGTTTCACCATGTTGGCCAGGCTGGTCTCGAACTCCTGACCCTTAGGTGATCCGCCCACCTCGGTCTCCCAGAGTACTGGGATTACAGGTGTGAGCCACCATGCCCAGCCACATTAAAAATTAATGTATTGTGCCAGGTGCAGGTGTATTGTGCCAGTGCTGCCCATAATCCCAGCACTTTGGGAGGTTGAGGCAGGGGGATTGCTTGAGGCCAGGAGTTCCCAACCAGTCTGGGCAACAAAAAGAAACCCCGTCTCTACGAAAAGAATAATAATAAAAAAAAAAATTAGCAGGATGTGGTGCCGTGTGCCTGTGGTCCTACCTACTTGAGAGGCTGAGGTGGAAGAATTGCTTGGACCCAGAAGTCTGAGGCTACAGTGATGGCCCCAGTGCACTCCGGCCTGGGTGACAGAGTGAGACTTTGTCTCCAAAAAATGAAAGTAAGAAAATAATATCGACACAGGTTTCCATGTCAGTAGAGCTCTTTTTGGTGGGGTATATTCTGATGCACAGGTGTATGAAAATGGGCTTCACTAACGTCCCCTTCTTGGGGTCCTTCTTTCTGATGACACAGAACACGGTGATGAGCGCCATCTCCCCCATGAGTTTCTATTCATTGTGTTTATTTATTTGGAGATGGGGGTTTCGCTCTGTCGCCCAGGCTGGAGTGCAGTGGTGCAATCTTAGCTCACTGCAGCCCTGACCTCCTGGGCACAAGTGATCCTCCTGCTTCAGCCTCCTGAGTAGCTGGGACTACAGGTGGCTTTACTGTTTTTAACATACAAAAATGGTATCTGCGTACATCTTTGCTAGGTTCCTTGGAATGGAGTCTAAGCCATGGCAGGGTGCGGGGTTAGGGTTAGGGTTAGGGTTAGGGTTAGGGAGTGGCTGCATATGACCATATTGCCCTGGATAAAGATCTTGATAAAGATAAAGGCCAATCTGTATTTTCGTGGTCAACAGCAGGGAGGGCTCATCTCTCCTTATCTTTGCCAACTCCGTAGGGGACTCCCTGTCCTTTGGTTACTTGTGACTTCACTCGATGAACGGGGGGCCTGCTGTTGCCCCCGCACTGTTCCGGGTGCTGGAAATGAGAAATGAACGAAGTGCGGGCAGCTCCCTTCCCTGGGGGAGGTGCATGGAAGAGAGGGCGGCAGGTGCAAAAGGAACCACGTAGCCCACCTGCCTCTAGGGTGTGGAAACACAGAGGCGCGTCTCCTTGGCTTTCAGCATCTCTTCACATCCCTGGATTTACTAAAGGCTGTGAGTTGTCTTCTCCTGCCTGTCTCCCCACCTTCATCTGGTTTGTGGGGTCCTTAATCTACAAAGGTTTTATTGAGGGTGTGATTGCCTTCCTAGTCTTTTTTGTTTTGTTTTTTTGAGATGGAATCTGGCTCTGTCATCCAGGCTGAAATGCAATGGCATGATCTCGGCTCACTGCAACCTCTGCCTCCTGGGTTCAAGCGATTCTCCTGTCTCAGCCTCCCAAGTGCTGGGATTATAGGGACGTACCACCACGCCCAGCTAATTTTTGAATTTTCAGTAGAGATGGGGTTTTGCCATGTAGGCCAGCCTGGTCTTGAACTCTTGACCTCAGGTGATCTGCCCACCTCGGCCTCCCACAGTGCTGGGATTACAGGTGTGGGCCACCGCACGCGGCCCCTCCTGGTCTTTCCCTTTAAGGTTCCTGCTTTTGGTGTTATGCTTCGAAAGGCCTCCCCGGCCCAGGATTATATAAATATTTTCATTTGTTTTCGTCTGGCACATTTTCCCCCATTTAAATACTTGATTCCATCTGGAATTTATTTTAGTGTCTGGTATGAGGAAAAGATTTAATTTTTTCCCAAATGATTAACCAAATGTCCCGACATCATTGGATGCATAATTCATTCGCTCTCTGGTAATTTATAATCTACTAGGTTTTTATATAAACTCCGGCTTGCTTTGGGGCTCTCATAGGCTTCAATGTTTTGCCTGTCTATCTTGTAACACATTATTTTAGCCTCTAGAACTTTATGGTTTTGTTTTATTTTAGACAGGGTCTTGCTCCTTAGCCCAGGCTGGAATGCAGTGGTATGATCATAGTTCACTGTAGCTTTGACCTCCTAGGCTCAAGTGATCCTCCTGCCTCAGCCTCCTGAGTAGCTGGGACCACAGGGGCACACCACCATGGTGGGCTAATGTTTTATTATTATTTTATTTTTTTTGTAGAGACAGGGTCTTACCATGTTGAACAGTCTGGTCACGAACTTCTGGGCTCAAGCCATCCTCCTGCCTCAGCCTCCCCAAGTTCTGGGATTACAGGTGTGCACCACCTCGCCTGGCCAGAGCTTTACTGTATACTTCAATGTTTGGTGGGGTGATGCTAGGGTGACCTGCCATCCTGCTGTGTCCAGGACCCCCTGGGCTTAGCATGGAAAGTCCCTTGTCTCGGGGACCCCTCGGTCCTGAGCAGAGTGGCATGGTTGCTTGCCCCATTTGAATCTTCTCTTCCAAAACCATTCTTGGCTAGCCTTCCTAATTTATTTTTCAGAAAAAACTCCAGAATTGTTTGGTTAATTAAGGGATTGTTTGTTCCTGGGATTCTGATTGGGACGTGCTCTACTTTAACTGCATTTGCAGCTGGAGACACCAGTGATGAGTAACGCCTAGCCCTGGGCCCTCCCTTTCCCCCT